CGGTCCTCCAAGAAGGAGCGGAGCCAGGCAAGTGCAAGGCCGCCAACTCCCACCTCGGAGAGCCTCCTCAGGAGGATACCGTGGTCGACGGTATCAAAGGCGGCTGAGATGTCGAAGAGGACCAACAAGGACACATTGCCCCCATCAGCCTCCCTCAACAGGTCATCCATCAGTGCAACCAGTGCCGTCTCTGTACCATAGCGCGGCCTGAAGCCCAACTGAAATGGGTCCAGGGCATTGGTTCCATCTAAGAGCGCCTGAAGCTGATCTGCCACCACTCTCTCAACCACTTTTAGTGGATGAGATGTTGCTTAAGATCTGAACACCCATTGCTTGCACTCCTGGTTGTCACCACAGCATTTTAAAATCATTCTAGGTTCTATATAGCTTCTGTGGTTTGCCCAGATTCTGAGTTCATTCACTGAAACCTGCCTTGAGACTATTTGTCTGCCGTCAGTTGACTCAGAAGCAGTTCTTGCCAGCCTAGAATATCACAAGGAGGCACAATCAGCTCTTGACCCAGAAATCTCAGAAAATGGGATGCTCCTGAGCTGGTGATCCTAAAACACATGTTAAAAACACACACAAACCCCCTCCAAAACACTCTGTTGTAAAAAAAAGGAGAGATATGCACTGGTGCGGCAACTAACTGATATATCAAATGTTGATGATGAAAGCCAGGAAGGTGCTGGTTCATATTTTACCAGTCTGATTCAGTAAATGACTTACGGCACTACTGCAGCCTTCTCCAAACCTCCAGGTATGTTATTATTATTATTATTATTTATTTAATTTATATCCCGCCTATCTAGTCGTGGTGGACTACTCTAGGCAACATATTCCAATATGGACAACACCAGCATTTCCACTCTGCTTGGCCTGCTACTGCCTCACTCCCATCTCATCCCTTGCTATCACAGGAACACACTGAATAATAATAAATACAATGTATAGAGTAGTTGCAAAAATTACAGGGAGACAGAGGTACGAAGTGCTTTGAAGAGTAACAAGCGGCACATACACTTGCCAAGCGCATGAACAGAAGCTGAGTGGGCTGAACGCTCCTTCAGGACTGATTATGAAATAGTATCCTCCACCATACCTAAGCCAATTTAGGAAGCCCCAAGGAGTGTGTGGTGTATACAGCTCTGTCTTCTAAGAGAGGGGAACAGAGAAAAGAGTCTATTGATATCATGAAGTCTTCTTGAAACTTCATGAGGAACAGCCAGGAGGCTGTCATTGACACTTCCCAGCATTTGCAGTCTGAGGGAGTTGGTTCACTTTGCCTAATGGTAGTGCAGGCTCTGGATTCTGCCCAGCATGTGGCTACTGCCCCTTCCATTAACATCATTAAGGGGAAAGTAAGTTGAATGGTACAGTTAGCTAATTCTGGTCTCTGAAATCTAGTACAGTATTTGAGAAATTTAGGTTCTTACTATGCTGACGGACAGAAAAGTACTGATCTGTTGTCGGTCAGACAGGATGGAGACTATACAGCTTAGATTATATATTTCTCACCATTTCATACTCTTCCTGCTGTGCTCCCCTTGACAAGCCTTAGAGCAACAACAATGCTGGTTAACATCTAGAGACAGATCTCCTGTCCCCACTGTGTGCCACTTAAGCAATGCTCAGGTCATTTCAGTGCACTTTGAATGAAAGCAAGGTGGGGTATTAATGGCTTTGGAGAGAGTGAAGATTTATCTACTAGAAAGCCTTAATGCTGCCACATAAAAAGAGGTATGGAATACAGGGGAGAAACTGTGGAACTTGAATATGGTTCTTTTAAAAGGCAGCTGGGGAAGTGCATCCAGTATACATAATTATTTTGCAGGAAGGAGATAGAGGAAGAACCTGTGGAAGAACCTGAGGAAGAGGCATAGTTTATGGCCTAATGGGGCACACAATTCAGCATTGCACCACTGATTGTTTAATAAATAAACAGCTACTACAGGCACACACACCCTTAGCCCAAGCTGGATCAGGACCATGATATGCAGAGTGTGTGTGTGTGGTCCCTGACATAGTCCTCATCGGAAGATGACTACCTGCCTACCAGCTGGCACGAGTAGAAACCTTCCCCCTTTTAAAATGTTTCAGTAACAATTATAAATTGAAAGCTAAAGGGGTGAATACATAGACAAATAGCTAAAAGAAGAAGAAGAAAAAGAAAGATGAGCTTTTATTGGAATATGAATAGATTATATGTCTATATACTTAATATGAAAAGATTGAATGATTATATATCTGATGTTCTCTTATACTCAAAACCCTTTTTCCACCCTTTCCTTTGCCCCTTACCTTCTGTCACCCTTCCCCGTTTCCTAATAGTTTTGAAAATAAATAAATTATTTTAAAAAAATGTTTCAGTAACAAGATGGTCAGGAACATGGATGACTGACCTGATTTCCCACAGTCCCAGGCTATCTCAGGTATATCATCATCATCATCATCATCATCATCATCATCATCATCATCATCATCATCATCATCATCATCATCATCTTGACTTGTATACCACCCCCATAGTGCTCTGAGCAGTTTACAAAATAGCTATGCAAGCAACATTCTTGCCCCCCCCCAGTCAGTCAGCTGGGTACTCATTTTACAGACCTCAGAAGAATGGAAGACTGAGTCATTCACAAGCTGGCTACCTGAACCCATCAGAATTGAACTCAGATTGTGAACAGAGGCTTGAAAGTGCAGTTTAACCATTGCACCACAGGGCTCAAATAGTTTTGTTTTGTCAGTATTTTATTTATTTATTTATTTATTTATTTATTTATTTATTTATTTATTTATTTATTTATTTATTTATTTATTTTATATGCCATACACTTTACCCAAAGGCCTCTGGGTAGCTTACAACAATTAAAATGCAATAAAAAGATAAAACAATTAAAATACAATTCAAATCGTATGCAACACCAAACCGCATCCAAACACTGCCTTCAGTGGCAGAGCACATACTTTGCAAGCAGAAGTTCCCGAGTTCAACCCCTGTGTCTCCAGGAAGATAGTAGGAGTTTAAAAGAGAGAGAGAGAGAGAGAGAAATCTTGTCTGAAATCCTTAGAAGTCACTGCCCATCAGTGCCAGCGATACTGATCTAGGTGGACATGGAAAATGACAGCTTCCTCATTGGTTGTTGTGGGTTTTTCGGGCTTCTTGGCCGTGTTCTGAAGGTGGTTCTTCCTAACATTTCGCCAGTCTCTGTGGCCGGCATCTTCAGAGGACAGCAAGCTTCCTCATTTCCTGAACTTTCTTGTTCAGTCTCGCTCACATTGAACGGCGTTGAGGCTGAGCTAAAAATGAAACAAAAAAATAATAGCAGGGTCTGGCCACTTTAAAATGGACTAACGTTGGTGCCAATGCTTAGTAGCTGTTTGGTGTCCCGTAGGGCTAACCCTATCATTAGCTAGAGTCAGGCAAGTTCCTCAGATGGTAGGTGCTGCGGTGCCAGACGGATGGTCACCCAATCTTTCTTCCTGAGTCCCTTGCTCATTCCCATCTCCTGCACCTCTGAAGGGCAACCAAGGACATGGATCCATAATTCTCTGTGTTGAAATAAGACTCTAGTGCACTTCCGTAAATGGAATTGGGTGAGGCTGAGGAGGGAACCGTCTTGTCCTCAGACAGCAAAATGTCTTGGATTGATCCTGACATCCCAACATCAGGGTTGTCTGATTTGAGTTCAGGTCTGTTGTCTTTCCTTACATTTTTCACTCTCCTCTTCTCTCTCTGTTTTTCTAGGCTCCTGGAAAAACAACTGGACTCCGATGTTTCTCCCTGCCGGTATCGCCCTGCTTCCCGGGTACTGCAGGACTCCACCAACTGGCTTGATGCCCAGCAACTTCCACCTCATTGGAGCTTGCTGAAGCAGGAGGACCACTGGTTTTCTGGGAAGGAGTTGAGCGGGGAGGTGCCTTCCCCCAAAGCCCAAAGGCAGCTGCAGCAGCACAGCCCTACTTATAGAGGGTTTCCTTGCTGGAGGGACAGGGGTTGGGGAGGCCGTCCGGCCTCAAAGGATCATTCTGCTGCAAATAGCAAGTGGTACCCAGGAGTGCCTCTTGCCCACAGCAAGAGTGATCTCCCTGCCCGGGCCCCTCCTAGCTATGAAGCCCATATGTTGCTGCACCTCCGGGTGGGGCAGGGCCCCCGCAAGGAAAACTGGCCACATCCCCCACCCTATGTTGCTCCTCCATCTTATGAGGCACCCCACCTCACAGTACGTCCCCCACAGCAGCAACAGCTGCCGCCACCGCAGCGCTATGCACACAAGGATGCCTCTTCTGCCGGGAAGCAAGTCCTCAGAGAGGCCCCCCGGAAAGTCCAGGCCAGAGCGGCGGGGGTCCGTGGGCCTCTGATGCATGGTCCTGGGGGGAAAGCAAGGCAAAGCCCGGCTGAAATTCCAGGTAGCTGGAGCTACCTATCGGGAGCTGGCACCTGGAGTGGCCCAAAGATGCACCCAGCAAGAGCAGGCCAGGGGAAGTCCTCTGATGGCTTGTTGGCGAGCTGGGATATGAGCCCCCAACACCGAAGCCACACCCTCCCTCGGAGAAGTAAGCCGACCAAGGGGGTGCCAGTGCCCCATCCCCCTGAGCACATACTCCCTGCTGGTTGGGGTTTTAGCCATACGGCTGTCGGGCCCCAGGCTGTGGCAGGAAAGGGTAGCAGAGTAGGTGGTAAGCAGAGAAAAGATCTCTTACCTCAGTGGAAGGAACCAGGACCGGGCAAGGAGTCTGCAGGAAGCCAGGGAGCTTTGTGGAAGCTGACGCCACGGAAGCGTGGGGGTCTCTTTGTCATTGATGCCACGTGTGTGGTGATCCAAGCCCACTATATCCCACCTCCCCGGATGGAGCATGTCCGCTACTTGGGCCTGGAAGAGAGGCCAGATAAGGTCAAAGTGGCGTCATCCCCCCGTGGCTCTCCAGGCCCTGTCTCCATGGAAGAACGGGCGGCTCGCATCCTGGGCCTTTCCCTGAGTGAGCTAGGCCTCTCAGAGGCAGGAGCAGGTAAAACCCCAGGGATTCCTGGGCCAAAGGTAGGAGAGAGTCATGTTGCAAGCGCCACTGTATCTCAGGAGGCCTATGGGACAGGGCAGCCTGGAGGGCAGAATTCTGCCCTAGCCAGCCCCAGGAAACCTCTCCTCGCAGCCCCAGCACTCAGCAGCTTCCAGGTTGGGCCTAAAGAGCAGGAGGTTCCCAGCCCAGGTGACAGAGGAACCGCCGTTCCTTGCCAGGAAAATGGTTGCGGCCTTCTGCAAGGTGAAGGGGAGCCCACGCTTTCCACAGAAAAAACATCCTATGCCCTGGATCTGAAGGAAGCCATGTTGAGGATCCGCCGCCATACGGCACCAGATTCAGATACAGATGATGATGATGAAGAGGAGGAGCTGGAAAAAGACAGCCGACCACCCGGTGGGCAACCAGTATGGAGAGGGCGCCTGAATGATGGGGCTCTCTCCTATAGCAGCAGCAGCCTAGACAGCAGCAGTTCCAATGCCACCGTGGTGCCCAGGAACGCTACCCCCACCCTGAGGAATGGACCCAAAGCTGGCCCAGCATCGACTGCAAGACAAGGAGGATTGGTTCAAGTAGGACCCTAACCCTGGCTATAGATTAGAAGAGACACAACTAACCAGTATCCGATCCTCACCTAACCTGTCCGCAAGTGCCTGCCATCCCTAGGCCGAGACCTTTGAGAATTAAAAATGAAAAGGCTTAGTCAATGGTCAGGCTGGATGGAGCGTTCTGAGACTGACAGTCTAAAAAATAGCTTTTTAGACTCTGACTCTGCCTGCTGCCCCATGACCCAATGGCAGGGATCCCAATATGTTTGGGACTGTGGGGTTGTGCAGGAGATATACATAGCTGTAAGACTTCTCACTTCCGTTTGTGTGCTCCTGCGTGTTTTAGCATGGTAGCCAAGAATGAAACCTCCATGTTCAGGAGAAGTAAACCATAAATTATTAAATGCTAGGGACAATCTACATCACCATAATACCTTATAAAATTAAACCTCCTTGATTAGCCTTAGTTGAAGAATTGAGCGCTGCCATGCAAGAGCAGGGCCATTTGGATTACAGTATAATCTTGGGGGGGGGGGAGAAGGTCAGTTTCTGTGTAGCAGAGGTACTTCCGGTAGGCAGTAAACCTGCCAAGCACAATTCTGCTCCTTCATATTCGTATGGTTAATTGTAAGACAATTTACGTGTGCTAAGTGTTCAGGAGTGGTGTTATTGGTACAGACTATAATAATAAAATTATATCATTCAGAGGAATGGGTCAGTACATTTGTCATCTTGTCAAGCTACAAAGTTTGCTTAAATTTGCCTCAGAATAGTTGCTGACGCTCAGGGAGTGGTGCCTGTTTGCCACCTAAAAGAGAATACAAGAAACAGTTGAACACCAAAACTTCAAGTTACAAGTCACAAGAATATATTAGAATCAGTATGAAGACAGTTTCTCTGTACTGTGCTCTACAGACGTCATTCTTAAATAATTGGTAGAATAATCCCAGGCATGTCTACTCAGAAGCAACTCCATCCAGCTCAATGGAACTTCTTCCCAGATGAATGTATATGTGTGTGCATAATTTGAAATTAACAATATCCTGTTTCTTTCTTAAAGTTTCGGTAGCCAGGCTGTTCCACTACAACAGTGGTTCCCAACCTTGGATAACCGAGGTGTTCTTGGAATGCAACTCCCAGAAACCCAGCCAGCACAGTGAGGGGTGAAGACTTCTGGGAGCTACAGTCCAAGAACACTTGTGTTACCCAAGGTTGGGAACCACTATACTACAGGGTATCACCTATATTCAAATATGGGATTCTGCCGCTAGGCAGAGTGAGATGTTGCCTCGGGCAGCAGATTTTGGATGTCAAGTAAGGGAATAAATTAGGGATTTTTCTCTTACCTGTGCATGTTATTGCTATTATTGTTTCGGTTTCCTACATTTGAAAAGCCCTAACAGCTTTATCTTGAGTGAAACAATGAGAATATAATAAAATAAACTTGAGAAGTATATTTTTACACTGAAATCCACAGCACGGATAAAATGCATATCCAGAGAGGCCAAAGGAAGGTGTGTGATTACACAACCACAGGATGGCGCTCTGTGTCCATTAGTCTCTTGTTTGTCGACCTGAAGTGTAATACTTGATGGGAACTCCGGTCAAAAAGTCACCCCATGTTCCTTTCCCCAAGTTTCTGCTCCAGCCACTCTGTTCCTCCCTGTTTCACTCTGAGACTTGACTCCCAGTTTCCACCTAAAGGTGCAGAGTGAGTTGTTAGATCCTGATCTTCTTTCAGATTATTTCAGTTGGAAGCAATCCCTGCAGTAAGATAGATCTTCAGTATTCTCCATGAAAAAAAATATTATGACAATGTTGCTGATAAACATGAGAAATGAAAAAAATGTTTTTAATGAACTAAGGATTTTTTGAATGGACTTTAATCTTCAGACAAATTCAGAGAAGAACAGCTCCATGTCATACAGTGTAAAATGCTTAATATAATACTACAGAATTGTGTAGAACAATGATGTTGCTTAACTGATCAGAAAACTACAACCAGACTTCTCCCATGATGAATATTATCAATGGGTAAGATCAGTGAATCAAGCTGCTGTTACAGGAGCCAGGGTTGGGAGAAAAGATTATCACTCAAAGTAAGAGAGACCGTATTGCAAAACATGTCAGAAAGCACATTCAACACAGCAAGTTAATACACGTGGTATTCAGAGGCCGGAATCCTGTTGATTAAGTTACATCAGCATAAAGTGCAGTGCAAGTTGCTGCTTATATCCTTTGTCATTCAGTAACTCACGTGGATGGAATGCAATGAGGGAAAGAAGTAGTGACTTGTTAATTATTGCCAAATTGGCATTGCAGTTTATAGCATGGCCTTTATACTGACACTAACTAGCCAATAGGGTTCTAGTCAGTATGTTGTTCAGTTCTAGCTCAGCTGAGTAGAGATTAAGAACAAAAACTGGTTCAACTTTACCAACATTCAGCTATGGTGTGCCCAGATTGGATGGGAGGCATAACACTAAAGGGCGGGGGGATCATCCTCTTCACTGTCTTAAGCGGTTATGGGAGTGGATGAGAAAGTTGTCTCTGCATTTTAGAATTTATCAACACTAGCAAATTTCTTCAAATTCAAGAAGCTGAAATTTAAACATCTCAGATACAGACAGAAGAAAAGTGGACAGATTTGCCCAACCTCCTCTCTCTCACAGGCAGTGTTCTGATAGAATGTGGGCATCCTCTTCCCTTTTCTTAGCTACTTTTGGTTAAAAATAGAAAATGCTTTGATCCCAGTCTCTTCTGCTCCATTTGGACCACTGAACTGAAAGACATGGCAATTTTGTTATTCCTCTGCTGGTTCAAAAACATGTGAAAAACAGATTTCTGTCTTCTGTTAGTGTCTTTTTAATGCACTTGTTGACATCTTTATTATGATACTTGTCTATTTGGGGAATTGCTGTCTTTTCTCAACTCTATTTCATATGGCTTTAATTGTCTAGATAAAAATGAGGGGGAAAAATCAAGAAGTCTGATCATGGAGCCTCTGTAACTCAACAATATTGGCACTCAGATTGTACAGTATTACGCTAATGCTGGTTGGACTCAGCAGAGACCTGTCCTATAGGGAAAAAAAATCAACACACACCTTTGTCTGGTAGCAGTGAGTTGCTTTTTGGAGCTAAATCACTAATATCTTTTAAAGAAACAGCATTGGTGTTTCAGATTACCAAGAATGCAACATTCGTATGGAAGTTAATCTTTAGCAGTCTGGCAGCAGCCTCAAATGGATCAAAACCCATTTGTCTTGACCAGTTTCAGTACCATCTTGGACCTTTTTTCAGTCTGTTGCCATAGATCTTTGCCAAAGAGGACATACGTACACCCTGCAGCAGCAGGAGGCGCTTGTGGCCCTCCAGATGTGATTGGACCTTAATTCTCATCTGCCCTCAACCGTGGCTATGCTGGCTGTGTAGTCTAGGAACAGTTGCCCATTCTTCCCCTCCAACCACCTGCTTTATACTGTCTTCCTTTCAATATTCAATTTGGCTAACAAAAGTGAGCCTAAAATACATGAAGAGCAGAACACTGGATTACTGAGTGCAAAGTCCGCAACTGAATAAAAGGAGGCAATAGTTAGCCACTGAAAATAGGATGGACACCCAGAGGGGTGATGTGGATAGGCTGATGGACTAGGACACAAGAGATGTGGGTTCAAATCCCTTCTCAGTCATGGAAACTCAGTGGTGTGTGTGTGTAACTTGTAAAATCTTACTTACCTTTGAAGTTTCAAATTGATGACACATCTCTCTCACACAACTACTTTAAAAGCCTTAAAAGCCAACTACACCTGATTTAATCACACATTTCTTTCCCCACTAAATTCAGGATTCTTTGTCACAAATTGCCAGCATGGAAATTTGGTGCTTAGGTGTAGCCTACTAGGAAGATGCTATGCACAGCACCCTCCTGGATGGGTTTCCCAGGAGCTCCATGGTTTGGCCCACTGAGAGGCTATGTTCTACTCCTGATGCAAGAGAAGATACAAAACAAAAGTTAATGGAAGTAAGGAGACCTCTGTAATAATCAACATGGCGTTTCATCCAAGAACAAGTATTGAGCTGAGGCTAGCCACCTAGAAATTCTTCATAGATCAGTGGTAAAATCCTAACTACAGGATAGGCTGGTAATAAAAAAGGTGAGAGATGACATATCATAAGGGTATCTGGCAAAAGAGTGGCTCATTCAAGATGACTTAAGTTGCAAACAGAAAGTGCAAGAAATAGGAGACAAACCTATTGAAATGAGGGAAACTTAAGAAATTTCATCTGGTGGGGTAAGGCAACTTTCTCAGGTGGCACATACTGGGAGACAGCTCCTGCCACTGTCCAACTTTTCTCTTGGGGATCCTCCTTTCTTCGAGAATGAAGGAATGTGTGGCCCATACTCTGTCCTATGCTCCCTCAACTCTGCTGCTAGCTATGGTGGTGGACATTGTCCCATCACCCATGGTGAAGAAAAAGTCAACCACCATAGTTGTTCCTTTCTCTGAAAGGAGTAGAGTAGGCCTATGTCTTGCTCAGGCAAAACAATTTCTTGGGCCAGCCCCTGACTTTATATACTATTCTTCCCAGCCTCAAACAAGTGAGACAAGGCATGCGCACATGGAAAACATTTTGGATTTAAACCACTTCAAAGGGCATCATTTCTTAGTTTTTGCAAAGGTGGCAGGTGCTGCAAAAAAAAAAAAATTGTTGCCTCTGCAAAACATATTCCTTTTGTTGTTGATTGTGACCATTTCTCAATTTGCTTGATAGCAAACTCAGGCTTACCAATGAAAGCAAAACAACACTTCACACACAGGTAGAAAATATGCAGGTTTTAAGCAAACTTTCCTTAGTGTTCTTTTATAAAAAGATGTCTGAGTCTGCTTTCCATTAAAAATAGAAATATTCAACAACAACAATGAAAATGAGGTGCGCGTAGGAGCATACAGCATGCAGAGCTCGAAAAAGTTCCCTTTTTTTGGCTGGGGGGAACACAACAACCACTTCTGCTTGCTGGCTGAGAAATTCTGGGCAAAAAAAGTCTTGAAAAGGAACATTTCCATGCTCACGAATGTGTAGTTTGGCACTTTGTGGCCAGAATCTTGTTCATTATTCACATCAGCCTTAAGTGCAATGGCAGAAACTGCAGTGGTGAATTGCTGCTAGTTCACACCTTGCACCTTGCATTTCTTGTCATATATCAAGTCACATGAGTAATGTGCAGTGAGAAATACAAGCATTAAATCCTTAACTATCAGCAGTAGTCGCAGTTTATGCCATTTCACTTTCATCATTGTAAGTACGGTAATTAACAGGATACTGGCCAGGTATGTTTCATAGGGAACTGCATTTTTGAAACATTTATCTTTACATACAATTACTTTTGGGGTATAAACATATGTCTTAAAAGGTATAAAGGTGCTGTGTGATGCAGGCCAGGTTTGTTCACAAACTTTTCAACGTTTTTTTAGAGCATCATTCACTTGGCCTGACAGTAAGCAAAACTCCTCCAGATTACCTTGTTTAAAATGATAGTGGAAGTGATTGGTACAGTGGTGCTTCGCTAAACAATGATAATCTGTTCCACTGAAATTGCTATTTAACGAAATCATTGTCTAAAAAAAGCATTTCCCCATTGGAATGCATTGAAACCTGTTTAAT